GAACAGCAACTTATATTGTAAGATTCAACTTACCATCAAATGAATTATTCCCACATGCCTAAAATATTTAAAAAAACACCAATTCATTTTATCATATTAAATTTGCAATTCAATTGACCAGAGAGACATTACCTGCCTATTCATACATGTGACCTATCGCAGAAGATAAAAGAGCAATCACACTTGAAAAGATACCCCTAATTAATCAATCGATTTTGGAGATACCACTAACCGGCTCTACCATTCAGCTATCGCATCCATGTAATCGAAAAAAAGATGAAGAATCCCGATTCCTCGACCTCGATAACCTACATCAAACTTCGATTAGAATTCAGATCGGAGTTGGAAGAAAAAGCCTAGCTTTGCACCGGTCGAATTTTCGATGGACCTAATTTCTGACCAATGGGATGTCGGATTGAAAAACTGATGACGGATTCGGATTCCTCGACATCGATAACCTATTTCGAACTTCGATCAGAATTCAGATCGGAATTGAAATGAAATGTCTAATTTTACAGTCCTTAATTTTTTAATGGACCTAATTTCTGACTAATGGGAGCCCAGATCGAAAAAATGATGACGGATTCGGATTCTTTGACATCGATAACCTATTTCAAACTTCAATCAGAATTCTGATCGGAGTTGAAATAAAAGTCTAGCTTTTGATCCTTCGAATTTTCAATGAACCTAATTTCTGACGATTGGGAGCTCAGATCGAAAAAATGTTAACAGATTTGGAATCCTCGTCATCGATAGCCTATTTGTGATTTATATGACTTAAATCACGTTGCGAAAATATAGAATCTGGCTTCAAGTCAGACCATGTTTGGAAAAATGGTTCAGCAATTAAAAAATTGATGGAGGATGGATCCTTTGCAAACATCCGCAACTGTTGGGGATCTTAGATGGTTCTATAAACTAGCCTGAACCCTGGATGGTTTATTAATGAGCGAATGAAACGTTAAATGGTCAGTATCTTGGCTAGAGCCATGAATGGTTCCCTATACTTTGTACGGATGTATTGATGGTTTCACGAACTATTTCATGGTGTCGTACACAGTGTACGAAAGCAGCAGGAGTTTCACTGCTTATTTTGAGGTTTGGTATACATACTTCAAAAGTACAGATAGTTTCCAAAGCCAGATATATGATTTATGTGAATTATATAACACGATTGATGGTTCCGTATATCTGTTACGAAACCATGCATGCCTCTATAATGGTTGAAAAAGTTTCGCATTCACTTTACGAAACTATTACTTACTTCGAAAGGCATCAATTGGTTTTGGATATCTTTTGCAGAACCATTAACGGTTTCGTCCAGTTGTCTGAAGGTTCAGCAGACATACTACGAAACTTTTACCAGTTTCATATAGTATCTAAAAGTTCCGGAGAGACTCTACGAAACCATTCTCAGTTGTTTAAAAGCTCTAATCGTTCCGGAAATATTCCACGAAACTAGCCATGGTTTTGCAAAAGATATACTGAACTATTATATCATTTACGAAAGTGTAAATGGTTTCGTGTAACGCATGCTGAACCTTTGGATGCTTCGCGAAACTTTCCATAGATTCGCATAAGATACACGGAACCTTTCCTTGTTAAACGAAACTCTCATTAGTTTCGTAAAACATAAAAAAGTTCAGCATAGATCGTACGAAACTATTCACTGTTTCATAAGTGACACAAAGGTTCAGTATTTCTTTGACGGAACCGGAAATAGTTTCGTAGAATGTGTCCAGAACCTTTAGTGTACTTTCGCAATACTGAATGGTTTCGAAGAACTTATGCGGAACTTTTAAATGCTGTTCAGAACTCCCAATGGTTTTGTATGACGAATACGAAACTAGCAAAAGTTCGGTTCACACTTAACGAAACTTCTAGATGGTTTCGTAGTGAAACCTCAAAACCCTTTACAACTTTCGGAACTTATAAAGGTTCTGTACGAAAGTTCCGAAACTATTTTCATGCCACGGAACTTAAAATCGTTTCGTAAAATAGTACCAAACCTTCAAAGTTCGGTAAAACACTTATTTTTTTTACAGTGTACTTTAGACTCGAAAGCTTATTAACAATTTTTCATAAAACTTGTTCCAGTAGAGAAATCTATTCACAGCTCCTAATATTTTACTTGAATCTTTCCAAAACCTATTGTACAAAGCAAATCGGCATCGTATGAACATGATTTCAAAAAATGACTCAAATCCGAAGTTTAGCTAAAAAGTTATTGATATATTAATGAATAAAATTGCACCAATCCAAGATTGAACTAGTCCAAACTCGGATCTTAGAATGGCCTAGGCCAATCCAAGATTGGCCTGCATCCGAGATTAGCCTACGACATATACATATGTTATCATCAATGATTCATGACATTGATATTGAGAATGCAGTATGAGAAAATACGCGTTCGAATGCTAATGGAACTATTGAAATAGATCTACTACCATCTTGTTTCAAATCTTTCAATGCCACAATTAAAAAATCTTATCTAAAAAACCGTAGAATTTGTCATTTACGTTTTCATTTTCAAGATTAGGGATGGTAAACCTAACGTCATCAGAAAGAGTTATTAATTAGTAAGTGTTTCAACAACTGTTTATGGGTTATAAACCATACATATGTTTAAAAGTTTAATCCATATCTTTGTTAAGAATAAGCTGATAAATGTAGCACAGTTCTCATGATTGTGAGTTTATTATGACTACTGGAAAATTATTCGAAATTTCGATGTGCTGTTCTTCAAAAAAGAACATTGGAAAATGTGCACGCATAAAAAAGAGAAACTCCACAACGATATCAGTTCTTACACAAAAAAACTTTGTAATCTATTATAATATCGGTTAGTCGCCTTTCATTGTACTTTCCTTGGTTGGCCGTCATAATGTAGAAAGGAAAAATGTCGAAAGAAAAAAATATCGAAAAAATTATATTGACATGAAACACTGTCAGTTAATATTTTAGAAAATTGTAAATAATATAGTATGTTTTCTGTATGAAATTAAGCTGAAATGTTGAGGGTGAGAAAATATTGTAAAAATATGTCATTTTTTCACGAGCTTCGCGAGCCTTACGTTTTTGTTTTCCTGGAAGATGACTATGATTGCAAACAGTTTTCATCAATCGATTATTTGAATCAGTATGCACTTTAGCTGCACAATAATTGATAGTGCATATCCAATAATTATTAGTTGTTGTTACTTTATTCAACTCCTTTATTTTACTTGTATCAATAGTTAGTCATCCCTATCAATTCTCACTAAAATTCTACACTAGTAAAATTATAAGAAAAAGCAACGAAGTATATGTGGTTACAATCGCCATATACTCGAGGCATCATTGTTTTTTTATTTTTCACTTTCGACATTTTTCCCTTCGATGTTTTTTCTTCACTTTTTCTGTTTTCGACATTTTTCCAGCACACCGTTTCATCTTATGGTTAATATTTAAAACAGGCTATCTTTTAATGAGAGAAATGGTTGCATTCAGTTGTTTGATGAAATAATTACTTCGAGAATGCAACACACAACTATTTCTAGTACAGATGAAAGATAAAACACAAATCAGCAAAAAAAATATCTGCAGCTACTATGTTCAGTTCACGGGTTTATTAATCGGCAATCTTCTAGTAGAAGACAAAATAAGATAGAAAGTACCAAATCATCGATGATATTGGTGGGCTTCGAGCGCGGAGAGTATAAGCTTCAAGATAGTTCAAAATTTAAAATATAACGGAGAATTGTTTCCCTGTCTGCCACTATTCTAATTGTTTCGGCAACAACCCAGAAGAATCATTCCGACCATAGGATCCTATCGGAAACTGATTGGAATCCGATCGGATTGTATAGGGTTTATGAAATCGACGAAATCCTTAATGATTCGGGGTCATGGAACGACTCACGGAACCTTAATATTGGATATCTTGACCTCTAGCGAATAAATCGATCGATAGAATGTCATTGAAATTTTTAGTGATGATTCATAGGAAGAAAACAAAAATAATTACTGTAGTAATTAATTATACCAACCTGATCAGGTATTTTCATAAGACCTTATCTATACATCCAAAACAAATAAGCAGTTTTTATAGCACTGAAGGAAAAAGACAACAAATGCAAGAAAACAGAACCCAACACCAAAAATGTTCCAAGTTGGCCATGACAGATAAAAAAACAAAAGAATAGTGTACCAATTGATTACTACATAGAACAACCACAAATTTGATTGATAGATGTCGCTATCTTTAACATAGATGTAATTATCATTCATTAATTTTCTTTACTGAGGTGGCAAGAAGATTTATCGTGTGTATTTGATAGAATGAACAAAGTAATAAATTACTGCAATATTGATTGTATGAATGAAATAGCCTTGCTCATAGATCATCAGATAGACTATTACATGGTTCTCTCTTAGAGAAACTAAATAATAGTTACTTTTACACTCGTCTCATAAGAAACGAATCATTTTTAATGGTAAACCAGAAAGGAGACAAAAGAAAAAGATTGATAATTGAAGTCAATTGACAAAAGCAATTAGCTTTTGTTGCAAGATTTGCATTTGCATTTGGAATAGAAAAAAAAGCAATCGATAGTATCATCATTATGAGAGCTAAATCATGATGTTGATTTAGAAATCTGTATAAATTTTCTTTTTAAAACAACAAATATTTGGTTGCCAGGTTAATAATCGATATTCTATATATTGTAACAACCCTAGAGTTTTCATGTGATCATATATCATACTTTGCTGATATGATTGAGTTACAGTTGAAGTACTATTTCAATATAAAGTTTCATAGCAAAGATAACTTATCTTTAAAAAAATATTTACGATTACTTTAGTTGTGTTTAGGGCAAAATATGTTATTCAACACTTGAAATTAATGTGGGACAACAAATGAAATTTGTTTTCTAGATATTCTACACGAAACAGTTCAGTTCACCTCTATTCGATATATAAACCACAATGAATTCTTAGTTTTGTCATCATTCTTAATAATGTATCGAATCGTATGCTCATTATGTTTCGTCTTGGCCATAATATTGTACTCGACCGAGGCTACTCCACTTGACGACTATGTCAATACACCCGATACACATTTTGCCTGGCAACGTTTGAAAACATATGCATTTCCTACGTACAAACTCTATATACTCAACATGACGTCTCAAAAATGGTTCGATGGTAGAGTTGCCATAAACTATATTTTATTTTTGAAAACCTAAATGGACTCTGATTTTGTAGCTTCGTTCTCATCGCAACCCATATGGTGGCACCATATGATTATTACAGTACCGCGTGTACTTCGACGTTCACAGATAGCTTTTCTGTTTATCGATGGAGGTGACAATACGGATCCGTAAGTTTTATCAATTAATTATTCAGAGACATACATTTTATTGGCGTTTGTGAATATTTTAATTAGAATACCTACCAGCAGTGTTGTTACAGCGCTTGCGTTAAGTACAGGAAGTGTTGCTGTAGAACTAAAACAAGTTCCAAATCAACCGATGCGATTTATGGTAAAGTATTCTATTAAAAATGGTCTAATTTTCAATAGATTTCAGTCATTTTAGGCTGATCCAACTCAACAGTCTCGTACAGAAGATGCTATAATAGCATGGACTTGGAAGATATTTATTGAACAAAATGGTACAAATCCATACATTCTTCTTCGTATGCCGATGACCAAGGTATATTAATTGAATTTATTTTACAAAGCTGTTTTATTCAATAATAAATGCTCTACAAATTATAGGCTGCAGTACGTGCCATGGATACAACAGAACAATTGTTAAAGCAAGAAGGATTTCCAGTGCCTCAAAATTTTGTTGTGGCGGGTCTTTCCAAAGTAAAACTTGATATCAAAATTATTGAATTCTTTAAATTTTCACATTTTCTTATTTAGCGTGGATGGACAAGTAAGTAAGTTTGTAAGGAATTAGATTCAATACTAATGAAATTCATAATAATAGCATGGACAACGGCTGCTGTGAATAATCAACGTGTACTAGCAGCGGTTCCTATTGTTCTGGATATTTTGAATCTTCAGAAGGTGAATAAGAAGAATAATGTTAATATTTTCTTAAATAAATAATATTTTTTCATAGAACATGATGCATCATTATCGAGTATGAATAGAAAACGCTATCATTTATTTTAGCAAATATTTGAATATCGTGATTAAAGTCATTAGCCGGATGGACATTTGCTTTTAAAGATTATCACGAATTGAATATCACTCGATATCTTAATAATCCCAATTTACAAAAACTGGCTACCATTGTCGATCCATATTGTAAAATCTCTTTCAATATATGAACTGTTTCTATTTGCTCATTTTTAAAAGCTTACTTTGATCGATATGCTCAAGTGAAATTGTTTCAATTGCAAGGAGCCAACGATGAGTTCTTTCTACCGGATAGCGAGGTATTGTTGTTGATTTTGAATTGAAGATAAATTTATATTTTCTTAGGATTATTTTTGGGATGATTTACAAGTGAAAACTGGTGGTTCATATCTCAGGTAAGAAGATTTTAGCGAAACCAAAATACTTCAATTTAACAAAGTTCATGTTGATAGACGAATTCCAAACACAGGACATAATATACAGGGATATCAAGAAAGTCTTCAAAGTTTCTATCTGAGCATTGCTGATGTAAGTTAGAATCGCTTGGAATCTTAATTATTTTTGACTATGACGAAAACTAGAAACAAATTTTACCATCATTTAAATGGACACGAACCATTAATGAAACCCATGGGCAAATTCTTGCAGTCGTCGATTTTAGTTCTGGACAACCAAAACCCATAAATGTCACAGCTTATCAGGCTCGAACAGTCACTGGCACTAAGTAGCTACATGTAAAAAAGACAAAAATTTTATCACCGAAACTATATTTTTTAGACGGGATTTTCGACAAGCAAAACTAGATCCTGATACAGGCAAAATAATTTCGAACCCTGTGGTTTGGCTAAATATGCCTGTCCAAGTTGAAGTGAAAACAATGAATATTGTTATTGATATATTCATCTTTTTTTCTTTTCTAGACACAAACCAGTACATCGATTACCTATTCATACACTGCACCTTTGCCACCGAATGGTTATTGGGATGGTATGTTCATTCAAGTAACATTTCCTGGACGTGAAAGTACAACATTGGATTTAACTACAGAAACTCTGACACTACCGAATACCTTTCCAGTAGAACCATGCACTGGAGAAGATTGCTACGGTAAATTGTGCTAATCGATACAAAAGACCAATTCAATGAATAGTTTTTATTCGAAAATGGACAGTTCAATATCACAGAATGAACAGTTGTATTACATTGAGTTTTTTATTGCTATGACTAGAAACACTTTCTAAATATACTGATATGCAACAATTGTCTTTTCATGTTGTTTCTATCGATGTAAAAATTGAAAATCAATTGAGATAATTATATCGAAATGAAAAAACAATTTACGTTAAAACAAGATCCATTAGCATATTTTCTTTAAAATTAGTCTAGAAAATTTTATTGATAAATTGCAATACAACTTCGATAGACTCCCGCTAAAGTTCATGAATTTGTGATTTCTGTTACTAGCTATAACTTATAGCTTTATTTAGTTATTCTATTTTTGAAATTTAATATAAAATATAACATTTTCTATTTCAATAAGATGCAATTGGCTGAAGAATTAACTATCGACTGAATTATTTGATAATTCAAGAACCATCGAAAAAGTTCTACGAAATAAATATTAATTAGATAACCTTCTGAAACTGAATATTGAATTCTTGCGCAAAGGTACCCTTAACTTCAAAGTACAATTAATGATATTTAGATTGAACATCTCTTGTCTTTGTTTGCATGAAAGTTTTGAATACATCAACATCTACTACTATAGAACCAACCAAGTTCTTTAATTGAATACCTTAGATATTATACTTAATATCCATAGAAACAAGATAATTATCGTCGTTTAGTTCAGATCTCTTGTCGTCTCATATTTTTCTAAGTAATAATTGTTTCATCGGTGTCTTTGAAAATATTTTTATTTGATTTGAATCTAGATCGACAATTTTTTCTAACCGAAATATTGAAAAACATGGTTCACTGCCAATTGAATCAATCTCTTTTTACACTATAGAAATATCTTATTCGAATCAAAGCTCGACTAATTCAATCGTATAAGAATAAAAATAACTAATATTGGATTCAATTTTAATGAAATATTAAAATCTGTCAAAACAAATATTGGTGATAGCGACGCAAGTAATCCTCTTGAGAATAATTAAGCTCTTTCATTTTATTTTTATTCCTTAAAAACAAGAACAATAGGAAAAACTTATATTGGTTTGCCATGAAGACTAATGCTTGATTGATCTTAGAATATTTGATGAGATTGTCAAAGGCGGAAACACACATCTCTCTTTCCTTCAGTAGAACAAGAACGGATGCTGATTGACGGCAAATGTTTTTCTGTTCTGCGAGGATCAACATCCGACAACCAGAAAAAAAAACTCGTTTTCTTCTATAGAATTCTTTTTTTGAGTTTCTTTCTCGTCGTTTGTCTCCGAATAATGAATAGATGTCAGTCTTTTCTTTAAAATAAATACATACCATTATTCAAGCACTTATTCTTGCTAAAAATAAATCATGAGAAAACAGTCACAGAGGTTTTGCTTTTTAAATAAAACTTATCGATGAAATAATTCAATATAATTGTCTCTTGTTTTAATATGACAAAAAAAGCAGAAAAAAATCTATTCTACAGATACATAAATCACTGTTCAATGTTTAAATTGCTTTAAGAAAATATGTTGTCATAAAATTTTTTCCTTTAACATTGATTTTTCCTCTTAAGTCAAATTTATATTTATCTTCCAAAGCCAATGCTACATGTTCAGGAACTTGAATGCGTCCTTGTTCACCAGTTGAGTCCATTCTTGAAGCAACATTAACTGTATCACCCCAAATATCGTAAGATAAATTTGTTGTACCGATAACACCCGCTGTGACTGGTCCAAAATTAAGACCCATTCGAATTTCAAATGCAAAATTTAAGAGTGCTTCATTAAATCGATGCATAGTCGATTGAAATGCCAAAGCAAAATCAACAAGATCACAAACAGATTCTAAAGTATTGATTGTATTAAAATATCTTTTACATTGAATAAAACAAAACAAAAATTCACCTAATGAATTCTGATCATTCGAATCTGCTTGTAAACCAGATGCAGCCATAAATGTTGCTCCAATAGTTTTTATTTTTTCAATTTTTGAAAATCTTGGATTCAAAAATAATTCTTCAATATCTCCATAGAATTCATTTAAAATTCTTGCATAAAACTTTCCACCTTCATATTGTTCTTCATACATAACATGAAAATTAATCAATGAAGCAAAAAGAACACCAACACATGGATGATTACGAGAATATGAACCACCACGAAGACGTAAAGGCTCAATAACATGTTCTGGTAAAATATTTCTTAAAAGCCAATCAGCACGTGCACGCTCTTTTTCTATTTCATGTTGTTGTTCAGAAGACTTGTGACCAACATGATATTGAGAACGACGAGCTACTTCTACTTGACGAGTTATTCCATATAAGACAATCAATGATATAAATATGCATATACTTATATCCAATATTGATGATTCTAAAAGGAAAAGAAAGAAAAAAAAGTCGTTTTTTTAATGGTCAGTTTAAACAAACTTGGCATTTCTTGTTTATAAATAAACAATGGAAGATAAATTGAAATAGATAATATGGCAATAAGAATTTTAATCAAATGAGATACAGATGCACCTAAGATAAGATATGTTGAAATAAAAACGATAAAAGCTGGTGAAGTTGTATCATCATATTTAGAAATTTGAATTAAAATAATAATTAAAGGAGATAGAAGATAAAAAGAAGCTATGAAATGTCTTAAAATCCACCAATGAAGCAAAATACGATGAAAACGAATCAAAATCAATGTTAAAATTAATTTTATACCAATTATTATTCCCATGATTATTGATACGAAATTCTTTTTTGGGAAATAAATGTAAATAAATAAAAGTGATAGAATCGATAAAATAACTTCCAAAATTAATAATGAATGCGAACCAACATGAGCTGAAAAACCTTTTTCTAATTTATCATCTTTATATTTTAATGTTAAAATATTAAACGCCATAACCAATTCTTTTTCTTCATTTTCAAATGTTGTTTCATTGACGTTTTCAACATTGACAAGATTTTCTAGATCTTGTGGAAATTCTTCTTCACATATTGTTGCCCGTCGAGCTTGTGCAACCTCTTCTAATAGTGGACTTGTTACAGGCTTAGTTAAGAAATTAAATTAAATTATATTCCTTTTATTTTTCTCATTAAAATTAACTTACTGTTGTTTCGGATTGATTCGGAATATCATTTGTTTCGTTCAAAGAAACACCAACTGAAACTCCTGAAGCAACGGCAACAGCTGCAGCAGTTGCTAATGTCATATGCGGTGGTTTTCGTGTTATCCGATGAGATAGATGTCTTTTTGCCACAAAATATGTTTTAATTAAAACTAAATAAAATGAAATTATTTTAATCAAAAAACAAAAATATTTATTCCAAAGAACAAACAAAAACCTTTGTTTGATGATGTATATGGTGGACCTTCTTCAAATTGAAACTCATCTTGTTTCAATAGTAAATGAGTCGCTTCGGTAATGTGAACATAACCTTAATTTGAAAAGAAAAGTGAAACGCAAAACTAGAGTAAATGAAATTCATCAATTACAAAAAATAAAAATAAACAAAAAAGTATTTTAGCTGAATGAGCAAAGAGAGCATATTCTACTATATTTAGTTCATAGAAGAGTAGAAGAGAAACCTTCAAAAATAATAGATGAATTAAATTTAAAAAATGATAAAATAAAGAACCATAAATAATAAAAATAATAATATAGAAAAGAAAATACTGATTTATAATATTTACTTGGCTTTCCAGTTGATTCCATTTTATTCGCTAAAGTAACATCATTTGAAAATATATCAAATTTGAATTTTTTTGTTCCAACAATTCCACAATTAACTGAACCCGAGTGAACACCAACTCTCATATCAACTTCTTCATTATTATCTTGATCAAATTCTTCAATAGCATTAATCATAGCTAAACCCATTAATACGCAAGCTTTTGCATGATCTTCTTGTGGTTCAGGACAACCGCTGACACAATAATAGCAATCACCTAACGTAGCTATTTTTTCACATGACATTTGAACACATAAATCATCGAATCTTCCATATAAATCCGATAATAATGAAACTAATTGTGATGCACTTTTATTTGATGACATGAGAGTAAAACCAACAATATCAGCAAATAAAATCGAAACATTTTCCATTCTTTCAATATGTAATGGACGAAAAGTAGCCATTTGCAATTCATCTTCACCTTGACGAGATATATTAACATTTTGTACACGTTCACGAAATACGTCAAAATCCTCCATAATGACCCTCGCATATTTACGTGGCATTAATGAATCAATCATTTTTGATATTAATGTATGTTCGCTTAATAATGTACCGCGGACATTCGCATCTATTTACAATATTTTTATTTTAGTTGACTTTCTTTTTCTTCTTATACAAAAATAAACTTACTTTTACATAATTGGTTGTAGGCAGAACGCATTGTTATATCGACAAGACGATTTAAATAAATACCAAATATATTTGTTATTAGTAATAATACTAAACATATTTTTGAATTCAATGTTAACGCTGTAATTATAACTGTTATTGAAATCGATATTAAAATTGATAAAAGTACAGAAAAATTTGCTAATGAATATATTAATATGATTAACAAATAGATATGACATTCTTCTGGATATAAACAACTTAAAATAGTCAATGGACAAAGACATATGATAGATATTATATTTGATAAGATACGATTTTTTAGACGATTTATTATAATTAATGATAAAATATTTAAACAAATACTAATCGTTAATATGCTTAAATGAATTATGTTTTTCTTTTCAGATATTGACTTAAATAAGAATATTTCAAGTGAATTAATTAATGCATGACTGATTAAAATAACGACAAGTAACCGATGACTTGGTGGATAAGTTTTTCTTAAATAATTTAAATTGTATTTTTTTTCTATTGTTGGTGAATCGAATTGGGAATAAAATAATGATTTTAAAGACCATTTTTCACGGGGAACAACATTTGTCGACATAGGATGAGTTCCCATTGCACCAACCATTGACTAGAACGGCAAACTCTATACCATCTATAATAAGTCATAAACACATATAACAGAACAGAGAAGAAGAAAAAACGCAAATGAATGGTATCTTTATAGCAGCAAAAGGAAAGGAAAGAAAGAAAAAGAAAAAAGGAATGAAGCAATTTGGCTTTGGCATAAGATTTGATGTCTATCTGTAAGTCACCTGCAGTCGAGTCGGACTCTCGTCCCATTTGAATTCTCATCCATGAAATAAAAAAAGAATGTTGTCATGGGAAACAAAACAAGAAAAACAAAGATTTTCTTTATTTAAAATGAATCCTTTGAAGAATATATAAATTGTCAAGAGTCTTTTTATTTGTTGTTGTTGTTGTTGATGATGTTGTTTTTTTGATTGTGTTGAGGCCTTGAAGTAAATCAAATGTATTTAAACGATCTTGAACAAATTTCTCAATTAAATGAATTTTATTCCATTTCGCAAGAACAAATGATGAAAAATGTGCATCAATTAATGCACAAAGCCAATCAATTATCGATGATGTTGGTTGCTGAAAATGAATCAGATATGAAACTAGTTGTTCACCGAGCTCAACAGATTTTGATGAATTGAAATATAATTTCATTGCATTTGTTAACGACCAATAATCATATCGTTTTGTTAATATTAATAATAAATAATCAAATGATAAATTTAATGATTGTATTAATTGTTTTTCACTAATATCTTCGACATTTCGAAGATATTTTTCGACTAAATTTATTTGATTTTTTTTAAGTATTAATTCAAAAAATTCTTCTAAATTAATTCCGCTTAAATATTTCCCACATTGATTAAGAATTTTTTCGTGATCAATTGTTTCATCAGTATTTAATAAATGTGTTAATCGACCTATAGAATTATTATCAGGACGAGTTTCTATCGTTGAACAGAGTTTTTCTACATCAGACATTTTCTTTTCTTTTCCTATTCGAAATAAGATTAACTGAATATTATATTGATGATATAGAATATTTTGTTCAGAAAAATCAACCAATGAAATTTCTTTTATGAATGCATTGATGTGTTAAACTTCGTTCTCTCTCTCTCTTTCTCTCGCTAGCTGTATGTCTTATATATTCTTTATTTCAAGATTTATCTATTCATTTAGGCAACAATAAAAATGGATTTAAACGAACAAGGTGAACATATTAAACAAAGGAAAGAATAGAACAAAATAAAAAACTGAGTTTTCCTTTTTTTGTTACAGGTATTCTTCTTCCTGCTCCATTGCGAGTGTTTGATTGTTCGGCTAATGAAATCATTTCATTTAAATTAAGTTCGTTGGTAGAATTCTTTATTTCTATTTTCGTTTAAATGTATTTTTTTTCCAGTTCGATCTGAGAAGGATTTAAATAATGAAGAAAATGAATTTGAACCAGAATTTACACATCAAATATTTGGAGAAAAGTAATATTCTTTATCATGATTTCTTTGTTAGAAACCACAGAGATTTTATTCAATAGTTTGTTAAATTCATATTCATGGCAGTGAATAAATTTTCTACTAAAAAAAAGTTAAAATATTTCATGTGACGATATTTTCCATGGAATTTTTTATTATCTTAAGACGCTGCCATTGCAATATCAATAAAGAAAGAAAGAAAGAAAGAAAACATTTCAAAAGTAAAAACATATTAGCCGTCTTTATTAATATGAAGGTAGATACCAAATATAAGATCACTCTAACACCTCATACTATACAAGTAATGTATAATTGTCACGACATGGTCCGATTAAACAGTTTTATTGACATTAGAATTACAATTTATGTCAAAGTTTAGTTACAAAAATAAGATGTTTCGGTGTAGTTTTGCTCAATCTTATCATAGTTTATTGCTTGAGATAATAATTTAATTAATAATGTTTATAGAAGATCTGATTGTTTAATTTTATTTTAGTGAAAGAATATTTGGTTACAAAAATTTAAAGATTGATATTTGCTGTTTATCATCATCATTGAATTTTTATTTAAACATTGATTATGATGAAAAAATAAATCCAAAGAAATATCATCAATTCAAGGTAATTAAAATATGAATGAAAAAACAAGATTCTATTTTTATTATGTAATAAATGAAAAATTTTCTTAAAGGCTGATGATTTAGTTGAATCATTGAATCAATGGATACCATTATCAACAACAACAAATTTAGATTTATTTTTATCGAAATTAAAAAATGAAAATGAATATTTACCATTCGGTGAACAAATTTTAACATACGAATTACAAGGAGAAAAAAAGTCTTTATCATATTCAATAAATCGTGTTAATCAAAATTTTTGTGATGATAAAAAATTTGTTGAATGGTATTCTCGTCTTGAAACATTCCTTGTATTTTTTATTGATGCTGCATCAACCATTGATAAAGATGATCCAAATTGGGTCATTTATCTTCTTTATCAACAATATCAAAATGATAATGGCCAAATCTGTTATGCACCTATTGGATTTATTACTGTTTATCTTTATTATGCTTATCCAGATAAAAAAAGACCAAGAATTAGGTGAGCAGCTTATTTTTCTTAAGTGTTTCTTGTTATTTTTCAAGATTTTCTTTTAGTCAAGTATTAATTCTACCACCATACCAACGAAAAGGTCATGGACGACGACTTTTAACAACAATTTATAATGATTTACGAAAAGATTCTCGTGTCCAAGATATAACAGGTATTGTGATTTGTTTCAAAATAAACGAACGAAATATCAAAGATTATATCGCAGAAAAAGCAGAAATAATTCTAAAATTAAGTTTTTGTTTTTCTATATGAAAGACAAAAAAATGATTTCTTCGAAAAAAATTCATTTTGATAATTGAATTAATATTCTTCGTACATTTGTTTACACACTAGATCAATGATTATCTCTCTCTCTCTCTCTTTTCTATTTAAAATTTTTATTGTGTTTTTTTCATAAATTATATTTATTCTAACTTCATTATAGATCTCAATTTCAATTAGTCTTCTTATATTAAGTAAAAAGATAATTAAAATTTCTATTAAACGTACTTGATAACACGCAATTTATTAATTGTATTTTTATTTTTTTGAAATAATCTGTTATCTTTCTTTCTTTTATGATAGACCGTCTGATAAAAATCTCTCAGATGAGATTCATTTTTAAATTAATACTAATGATTTTTCTTTTTTTCTTTATTTAGCTGAAGATCCATCAGATGAATTTGTTGCATTACGTGATCTTGTTTCACTTGAACTATGTCATAAATATTTATCTAATCTATTTTCAAAAGAATCAATTATTAAAACGAATCGATTAACAAAAGAAATTATTGATAAAGCACGAGATATTTGTAAATTAACTAAAGTAAGTTTTCTATTTATTTAAACTTATTTTTATTTAAATAATTAAATTTATTTTAGCAAGAAGCACGACGTATTTATGAAATGTGTTTTCTCCAATCAATTAATAGAAATGATGAAGAACAAATGAGAAAGTTTCGTTTAATTGTTAAACAACGTCTTTTTGAACCATTAAGAGTAATTTGTTTTTCTAAATTGATTTCATTTTGAAAAATAAATTATTTTAATTAGTTTGATAAACGTCGTCGTCTCCAATTAGCAGATCCAACACTTGAAGCATTGGCAACAGATCCAGAAAAACGAAAAACATATTTATCTACTCAATATGAATATGTTCTCGAACATTATGAAAATATTCTTCGAGCATTTAACAAATATCAAGATCAATTATATAAATAAATTCAATATTTCATGTAGAACATTGTGCAAATACATTTATTTTTCTTCTCTTACTTTATCATGTAATCAATGTTAAAATTAAATAAAAAGATTTGACAAAATGTCAATCTCTAAAGAAACAATTATATCAGAGCTATCTTTTTCTGATGAAATATTCTTAATAAATCAAAGATAGTCTATATGACACGATCAAACAAAATTCTTGTTTGCCACGAAAACAACTCTATTTTCTGTCTCTTTTAGATGCTCAAGAGACTTCACTAATAGCTTTTCAAAACTACTTCACTTTTTTTAAAATTCAATAGTTGACTAAAATTTTGTTTTTATTCATTATTTTGCATGAATAATCATTGTCTTCTATCTATATAGCATTGGTTTTCTCTATAATTTTATGCAAAATGAATTTAAACTTGCTCGTATCATTATTTAGGGATGTATATATATATATAAAGAACACGTTCAAAACGGTTCCAGTATAAACCGTTTTAATGTGATTAAAATGTCAAATTCTTGAAGAAAGTATTTGTTTTAAAAGTGTTATTTTTTGCGAACACTGTTTTCGTCAATAATATAAAAACTTACCTTAAGCTTATTCAGCATTTTAAGATTTGATTTAAGCAATTTTCTTTGAAATCAAGAACTGTTCTGGCAGCATCTATCTCAAATTCGAGCTGTATATTTTTGCATAGATAGTTATTGGTACAGTTTAATTTCGAAAATAAATTTGACATATTGGTGCAAACATTGCTTCTATCAACTGTGCTTATATTAGACATCGAAAAGCAATAGTGGAAGCAGAATTAAATTTATTCTATATTGAATAAAATAAGCAAAGATTTTCTAAATTCATCTCTACTGGAGCACGTCCATATAATAAAAGCAAAATAATGATATAACTTGTAGAGTCCTTCGATTTCCCCTTACATTTTGTTCGTATCTACTGTTACCGTAGAGATTGTTGAATTGTTCCTCATTGAAACTAAAGTATTTCTGAAAAACTAGTAGTCATGCAGCCTCAGGGCGAAGCTGACCAATAGGATCCTATCGGATCCCATGAATTCCGACAGAATCTCTGGTATCGGATTTCGACAGGAAGCGTGATTCATGTCGGAATTTTGGTATTCCGACACCCGACAACTTCCAACGAATTCCTATCGTATCCGATATAGTCCGATAGTTTTCCGATAGGATCCAACTGTTGGATCAATCGTCCTGGGACTGTAAAGGTCTGTTCATTTTTTTTACTCGCGC